AAAAACTATACAGAGAAGAAAGAGAAGAAAGATAAAAATGGGATTGAATATTTTTAGACACTCCTTTACCCATTTTCACACGGTGAAACTTGCGCCTAGCAGAAAACAAGAAGGCTCTCGCTATTATCCAATAACAGGAGGGCTCCCGCTAAAGGGACAAAACGATTGCTTGGCGCAGGTTTGTGAAATCATGCGACAAATTGACGCAAGTTACATTCGTATAACATCAATGTTCGGGAGAATTCTTTATGATCTTTGAGTTCCTCTACTTATCCAAAAAAATAATTAAATTTAAAATGATGGCTATGACTCCCAGGTTGTAAGATTCGTTTATTTTTTCTCAGTTTGTTAGTGGACGGTACTTTACTAATCCTGAGATCTGATTGGTACCGAGAGCTGGCAGTATTTTCGTGTTGAGTCACTTTGCAGAACATTTCTGGCTCCTTTGCAGTTTTTCACAAATATATCTTGTTTTACCGGCTGGACAGCATTTTCAAGCATAAACTTCGGTCACGACCTTTTGCCGGTAAATTACATTAATTCTCTCTAACTTCCTTCTCTCCCTCTCAAATCACTTTGGTTTTTGCGCAAAAAATTATTTCTAACTGAGTTTTGTGTTACTAAATTCGTTTAAAAAAAGATTGAAGCGCGGCCTAAAAACCATTTGCAATTTCATAATCCTTCACTAAAAGTAACAAAGAAAGTGAAAACGGGAGGTATTTGCAGTTAACAATTACATTAACCAAAGTGGCTCTCATTCATTTTATTTCTGAATTATCCGAAACAATTAGCTCGATTGTGAAACGTTGAGCGAAGTTTTGAGATCTTCTATAAATACACTTTCACTTATCGTTTGCAAATCCCTTGAATATGGACATTTCTACCCTTAAATTTCGCAACAGAAGCTGAAGTGAAAGTCGCATTAAGTCCCCTTATGTCTAGTTAAAGAAAGCGTCTTATTCGACTTAAGTTTTTGGTGGAAGAAAGACAACTTTACACACGCCATTGCAGAAAACAAACAAGCAGACTGACTCCAAAACACACTTTTCAATCACTTACAATCTGACTCTCCGTGTCATTTAAATATAAGCAGAGGTAAATCCTCGAAGATTAATCGTCGTTGAAAATAAGCAATACTTTTCGTAAGACCTCTCAGTGTTTTTTAAGAGAAGATCGCTATGGTTGCTAAACTCGTGCGTGTAGTGTTGTATATTCAAACAGGTACACGCCCTTTTTCCCCTCCAACTGACAGGTGTTGGATTGTGACAGATACTTATCAAAAAATGTTCCAAAGTTTGCTTGGAAGCCTTTTAAGCTACCTTTACCATTACTTAGAGTAACACCTTCGGCCTACGGCCTCGAGCGGTATCCAAGACCTCAGGCATATCGGGATTTTAAGCAGACCACGACGGCTACGGCAACGAGAACGTGGAAAGAGAATAAATCTAATTGGCAGATCAATAGCCCAGCACGTGCGTTTTAAAACGTTGTACATTTCTTAGCCGTCCTTTGCAAAACAATAAGGTGAAATCACCAAAATTTGCGTCGTCTGCGAAGCGAAACTGCAGCGGCAAATTATTTTAATTTGCATTTGGAACTCAACGCTACTTTTATGCGTTATGTTGAGTTTGAGGTCTGGCGCCCTGTAAGACGGTAAACTCATGCAGCCATTTTCGAAACTCTAACTATAAGTAGAAACTCATTTTTTAATCGACGTCTTCCGTGGCGTTGTAGTCCTAACTGCTTAAAGTCCCTATAATAATAGTTTTTCCTAATACGGACCTTCCACCTGATCAATAACATATATATTTTTTCGGGGAAAGACCACTTGGTAATTGAGCTCTTCCCATTTCCCCATATTTGATTCAAAAATGACTTTTGTGTATACAAAAATGAATTTTGAGCATAAGGAATCCCAAAGTAAGGTATGTTCTGTTTGTAGCATAAGCTGCATAAAGTCAATAGAGCCCGCTGTTTACCTTTAATGGTTCACTGATGAGCAGCATGTACTTATGAAGATAACCTTTAGAAGAAGCGCTGCCAAATGTTCTTAGTTCTTAACTACGGCTGTATAGGTACAATTGATCCCTAACCGCTCGATTTGAATCCGTTTGCCTTCTGGCAACCAATTTTTCATTAGCGTGAGCCAACGAAAAATTGACTCTGAATTTTCTCGGTAAAAACGCAGTCTTATTGAAATCCCACTTTCAAAATCCCTTAAGGAAATAAAAATATGACTTTTCATTTCTCTTTTGGTTTCCAATTATACTCACTTGGAAAAGATTAGTTCCAAAACGTCTATTTCTTGTGTTTTTTTTTTCCTACGGTACCGTATCAAATATCGGATTGTACCGATTGCTCATTGTTTGAGATAGTTGTCTTTTTTGTTTTTGCTTCTAAAGCGCTTCAGAGTGGATAGACAAATACTTTCACAAAGCGATGATAAGTAAGATTATTACAGTTTATTTCAATCAGCCTTAAACTCTAACAGTCAAATATGATAATATCGTCGATTGCAGCATCTCCCTTGTAGCTGCTTCCTCTTATTCCCTCGAAAGTCAGCTGCAAGAGAAAGAAAACCTTTGGTTTCGCGCGTTTCTTCTTATGATTGTTTAGCAATTCAAACTGTTGTCGCATCATATCAACCCTCATATTCGATATCACGTTAGATCCTAAGGAAGACGAATTAGGCAGTAAAAGATAATATACTGAGAAAAAGCAATTACTTTTTTAGGCCCCGATCCTGTAAGACGACCTTGGAACATATGCCAGTCATTTCCTTGGTCTCCACTTTTTTCAAATATCCTCTTGTTACCTAATGTAACCTTCAGCGTCCCCATGCTACTCCCGAACATGTGAAAATAAAACCTCAGACAAGACTTTCCAGTAAGCGAAACCGTACGGGACATTCTGGCATTGTAATCCTTCCTTTGTGGATATGAAGCCTCAATGAACATGTAGTAACCTGAAAGACACATGTAAACATACGAATTACTCATACCAGAGTTAGCGAATGGTTGAAAAGTTACCAACTTTCTTAAAAAGATGCATTCCAAGGAAAACACCTTCGTTAAAAATCTGAACGTTTGAGCCAGGTTATTATTATTATTATTATTATTTTATTTTTTATTATTATTGCTATTTTTTAATGTTTCTGCAATTCAGTGGAACCACGTGATACTCCCCAGACCCCGAAACTAATCAGACACATGTACATAACAAATGAACATGAAGTGTTATTGAAATTATTTATGAACGGCGAAATTGTTCAAGGTGTTGCCTTCGGAGCATGTTAATCTTTCCCGAGTAAAATCTAAAAATTACGAGATTTTTATTTCTTTATAAAATGTATTGAGCACAACAGAGTAACTTTGTAGCCTTAAAAATAAGCCGCCTGTTTAGATCATCCTGGAAATACCTATGTGTCTTAAGGGTAACGCAAATTAATATTTTTACACATTCTCTTACGTGAAACCTACGGACAATAGATCTTATATATGTAGAAGCGACGTTATACCTACAGACAATAGTTTTACAGCTCAGGAATATGCATAATAAAACAACTATTGGATTCGGTTTTCGCATGATAGCGATAATTATCAAGGCCCCGTGACCAGTCTGTGCTATTCGCCTCAGCCTTCGGCTTCGGCAGATAATACAAACTTTAGCCTTGATAATTATCGCTATCATGCTCAACTTCATCCAATTGTTAATTACATATTAACCAATTGAAAAAGACCGCAACTGATGGTTCAACAGAAGTTTTAGCAACCTAGTCACTGTTTAGAACACGTTAGCCTTTAACAAGTGAGAAAACAGATCGGCAATTTGATCGCGGAGAGGAAAATTTTGAGTTCTACGAACCATTTCGAGATGTGTGATCTTTATTTGGGCCAGTCCCTCCCGATGGTGTAGGACCTTTCCTTCTTTTCCAGTCAAATTTGTCGGTCGAACTTTGTTGGAATCCACACGCGTCCTCATCGAAATTGCACGAGAAAGCTGTATGAAAAAGATTTTAAGTTAAGGTTTATGAATTGCATTAGATTTGTAAATTAATGCAAAAATTTAAAAACCGACATCAACCTTTAGCAGTTAACCATTCACAAGCCGGCGGATGGATACAGCGAATGTAAGTAAGTAAGTATAACTTTATTTAAACACGAAACATTGATGAGAAAAAAGATGCTCGTTACAAAAATGTACATGTATACTAACTAAAATAATTCAATGTAGAAACTCTGATATGATAAATGAATAAATAGTTTAAGAAAATATATTTATAAAAAAAAAAATACATGCCCGAAATATACAAGCTAAAAATATTGCAGATTAAGGGCTAATAAAATCTATTATTGAAATAACGCAGAAGGCGTGAATCAAGCGCAGAAGGTGCATTTGCAATTAACTTCGGTATCCAAATTTAACTTAGTTAACTGATTTCTAAAGATTGTAATGCTCTTAGCATCCCTGGCATCTTGAGGAAGGCTGTTCCACAGCCGACAACCAATATAAGAGAAGGACCGATGCCCAAAACGAGATTTGGGAGCCGGCTGATCCATAGAATGAAAGGAAAGTTTTTACAACAAGAATTTTCATCTTACGGATTGGTTTTCATATTACATAATTTGAACATGTTTTTTTAGTTTGTTTGATTTTTTTAAATTGCTGCAAGTTGAAGTTACTCACAAACGGCAGATGGAGGAATAACTGGCGGAGGCTTTGTCTGTGGATTATCTAAAACGAAGAGAATAGAAGAAACGAACTAACTCATTTGACTAAACAAGAAAGATAAAGAACAAACTCTTATCACAAGCATCAGAAGAGAGAAAATTGCATTTGCTTATTTGATGTACTCGCTTTCACTTTTGCAAAATGTCGATCGCCGCTAGCACAGCATTCTTCAATATTTTACCTGTATCTGTCATTGCAAAGAGAAGTTTTTTTTTTTTAAGAGAGCGGTCCTTCTCGATGTCTATCGAATTTCACAAGAAAGGAAGTTAATTATTTTGCGAATTAAACCGTTTACATTGAGATGCAAATCAAAGCTTGCTGGTGACCACTGATAAAGCGAGCTAAGTGAAAAATTCAGAAAGAGAATCAAGCAAACTACCTATCTAACCAGAATACGGTAGAGTGATATAAGATTCAAAGAGCTTCGAAGAGTATACACTAAAATTTGGAGTTGCACGCGCAGTTCCTCGGGTGAGGGCAAAACAATATTATTTCTCTTTTGGATTATATATTTATTTTCATTGTCACTTACAACCATTCACTGATTCAAACAAGGTCAAGTTTACTTAAAATCAGAGCATGCAAGCATACCTCCCCCGCATTCACGTTTGTACAACCGAACCATTTCTTCTGCATCGATGGGACTTATAGTATCTCTTTGACCAATGTACACCTGAACATGAATACAAATTGTACATCTAAGATAAATTCCAACAACTACTCATAATTTCACACTTATGGGTTAAAGGGATGTGAAACCTATGCTCGGTCGCCTTTCAAAAAAACCAGTCAAACAAACAATAAACAAACGAGCAACACAGAACGGAAAAAGAGCAACACAATGATGAGAAAAAATATTTGGCTCTTGTCTTCCCCGATGCCGCAACACTTTTTTTTATCCTTTGTCTAATTTTGTTGATGACTCACCCCTCGTTTCTCAGGGACTGTTTAAAGATTGTGCTTCCTCTAGATCTGGACAATAATTCTCTTTAAGTTTAACAAAAGAAATTAAGGAATCACTTAAAAACTGTTAAAGACAGCGTGTTCATATCACTGCTCTTGGAAAAAAAAAGGCAGAAAGCCCGGATATTATATTAAGCTACTCACCCCTGATTTCTTCGGGACGATAGTTGGCTGTCCATTTTTAGAAAAGTACCTCTCACCATAATGCATGACTGAATTGTAGTCATAAGGCGTTCCAAACGAGTTTGCACTGTATGATTTCTGGAAATTGCCTTCCATTCCTTGGAATTGACAGAAACAAAGAGCTCCTATGAGTTTTCTTATAAAAATAATTAAAAAGAACGGCGATAACAAATGATAACGGCGATGTATTCGATAGTTGAACAGATTTATGTTGCGTCAAACTAGATCTGGCACACCTCTCTGGACTAAGTTTGGACTTGAGTATTCTTTTTCTTTGTCTCTTTTTCTGATCTGCTTTCATCTATATGTCACTATTCTTATCAACAGGAGATAGTACCTGGGCTTATGTTCTCGAACTTGATTTCGACATATTGATCCCTGTCTGGACGCGATTGTTCGTGCAGAAATCCAAGGGCATGTGCTGGTATGAAAATTAAATGATATATGACTATTATGATAAACATTAAAAAAACTAATATGTCTACAAACTTTTAGCACTCTAAAATCTGCTCAACTTGTTTCTCTCAATCAAACTTTCAATACTCCATTGAACAACTCCAAAGACATAACTGTCACCCAAACAATCCTTTACATTGCTAACAGCACCTCAAACGATCACACATCGGGTCACATTTGCCCTATGCAGAGGCTCTAGTGCTCTCTCGATAGAGTAGCAGATTGGCTAATCTAAAAAATTTATGATAGTTCCAAAGCCGCAAAAGATAACTGGAACAAACCGATCTCGTGCGCAGCAGTGCCGAGATACAAGCATCCATTGCCTAGGGACAGTTGTTGTTCCCTCCCGGTTCGTCCCACGTAAGACCAGCACCTGAAAAAAAGGGACAAGAGCTATTGTTGTCTAATTATCCTGCAATAGTATATACTAAAACAGGGGATAGCGTTGAAGGCGCGCTCTGATTGGTTAGTCAAACTCCGAATATCCTTTGCTATTTACCTCCGAGCAACGCGGGCAAAAATGGCGTCCCGGTTTGCATTCAGCGAAGGAATCACTCAAATTAATTTTGGTGGTGTATATTATCTCACTGTTTTAGTATATACTAAAACAACTATTCACCTCAGTGTCGGTGATTACTTACCTCGCCGCTTCGCGGCTCGGTAAATATCCATCACTAACCACCTCCACTTTGGTGAATAGTTGTTAAATAGTCGTCTGCAAAGACACCATTATGTATTACAAAAATATGTAGAAAAGCTTAGCAAAAGAATTATACTTTATAAGCAGATAAATACATTTAATAAAAAAAATGAGGTTAATAAACTGAATTCTGTCAATTTTGATCAATTGCGCTTAGAAAATAAATGAATGAAAGAATTAAAAATTAATTTTTGTTTAGCAAGGTGAAAGTCATCTTAATTTTTCGTTTATTTTGTTAGTAGCTTTCGAAAATTTTCACTCTTCATCATAATTAATACTCTGTGACTAATTCAAATCAGGTATTATTCATTATTAAAAACTGGATCATTGGATAATGCAGTTCAAGACTTTTTATTGGCTTAGCCATTATCGTATATGAGCCAATATACCATAGTCTACAAATATGGTAAGCGTTCACGTCAGCTAATAATATTGAATTGAATATTTTTAATAAAACAGTTATTCCACGAGAGCTTGTTGGATATGAGATAATTGCAGCTAACGAGGCGCGTAGCGCCTCGTTGGCTATCTATCATCTCATATCCAACGCGCGCGAGTGGAATAATTGTTAATTAGACTATATGCATATCTTCAAAGGCAACATCACCTAGAGTAACAAACGGCAACTGTATACCTGGAAGACTTAAAGGTTTAAATGATCAAACAGGTTCCTTTAAATAAAAGTTCCATAACCTACCCGCCTCCACTGAAAAATTTTACATATGCGTAATCATCAGCCGTCCTCTGTCTGAATTTTATGCAGTCTTCTGTTTGTGTTGTCCACGCGTTGAAAGCAGCGTTAATCACGGCCATTGCAGCGGAATATCCTGAGAAGAAAACAGTTGAAAGTAGAAAAATGAAGTCGTTCCTCGCAGATTTCGTTTATTTAATTTTAGTTCAATTGGAGCACCTTGAAAGTAACTATGAAGAAATTCTTTGTCATACTTCCAATCAGTCATATCACATCCTAAATTTGCAATCTTCCATCCAACAGTCTACATACAGCACATCACTGTCAAGACACTTTCTCAACCTCGAATAGCTACACTATACTGAGTTCAGCACAACACTGGAATTGCTAAAACTCCATAACTAGCATCATGTGGCGTATAGATCGATAACTATTCTTCGAAAAGAAGATATTTGTATAAAAATTTCATTCGCGAATGGCACAGGTGGATCATGTGTCATGCCTATGAAATGTATATGTTCTTCTCAAATGCTTTTTTCGCTGTTAAAATGAAATTATTTATCACCTAAAGAGGGCTGGAAAGAAGTTTTTGCAGTTTATGATTGTGGTAGCTAAATATAATTTTCGATAGTTAAAGTTTGACATTTGTACGTTTTATGCGTCGTTGGAGTATAAAGAGTACGACTTACTTACTTAAACTAGAGTCGATGTCATACACGAGCGTACCGCCTGGCCACAGTCTGTTCGCCACTGCACCTCTGGTCTGGCCTGGTACCAATTTTATATCACCTTCAAACAGTTCGTTATCCCTGGTGTGAAGATTTTCTGAGAGAAAGTTGAGTTAATTTTGATTTTTTTTTTCTTTAACGTTATTTGGCAAACTATGTGCAATTTCTGGAGTTGTTGCTGCACGCACCCATCAATAAACAAGCTTAAACTAAGGAATAAAGATAAAATAAATTTTCGTTTTTTGGTTCGCTTTACTTTTCTTTTTTTGATTTTGTTTTGTCTTGTTCTGTTTTACTAAGAAAAGAACGAAGAGAAAGTTGAACTGAAATAAAAAACCTTCTTTTTTCTTTTCCTTTTTTCACTGTTTCCTTTCATCCTTAGCAAAGAAAATTAGAATCACGTTTTGTTACAATTTCATGATATGGACGAAAGTTCCACATCCCTTAAGCTCAATAAAATTAACAAAAACCACGAAAAAGACGAACAAAATCAAAATTCTCCTGGTCATCCAAACTTCTTCCACAACATTTTTTATACTTGTCTAATATTTTTGGGAGTTAGCGCTTCGATTTCGTTTTGTTTCGTTTGCAAGTTTTGGATCGATCAGAAAATGACCTCCTCTTATTTAGATTGTGTAAAATGGATTTAAAATTCTGAGGAGGAACCCCATGAATCGTATCCTACTAATGAAACTGGGAAATGATTAAATCTTCGACTCGAATGTACTTATGCAATATATAATATTTAATTCTAGACTAACAATCACAATTTTTCACCATATACCTTCCGGAGATGAAGCCAAAATGTAAGTTAGCCACGCGAAATTAAGAAGAACATGAACCTTCATTGTGGTGAGATTTGAAGCGATAAAAGTGGAAATGGAAGAAACGCAGTCCGAGTTAAATAGCTAATATTTCTAACATCTGCTTATTAGAAGCATTTCAAAAGTGTGCGCTAATTGGAACTCTCATGAACTCCGTTTTCATCTTTTCATCTTTATCATTTTAATGTTCCTAAATCTTGAAGTTTGATTGCCCAGCTTTATTAGTGGGAAGACGCCTAAAGGAGAAATAAAAAAACGTTTTTTCAGCTCAAGTGCTGCATTCTGAAGAGTCCATTATGCTACAAAATGAAATATACTCAACAATAATTGTTTCACTTTTGTTTTGCACCATTTTCTTCGAACAAAAGATGTTGGTAAACCTGAACATCTTTTCAAATAATCTACCCCACTTACATATATGTGCTATAACTAAAGTATTCTTTTAAAGGGATAATTTCACTAGTCTGTCCTCTTGCCCAGTTGATTATTTCAAATTTAAATGGTCTTAATTTGAACATCTTAAAGATAAAAAGCAGGCTTTTTAACATTCCGTTTGATGATTGTCGTCAACATATTGTATTTTGCGATAATGTTTGTCTTTTTGTAATTCTAGAGAGCTGAAAAGATCACGTCCAGTTTGCACTACTAGTTGCACTTTACTTTTGAGGCAGAGTCTACGGAAAGTTTCGGAAAAGAATCTCCGTTTGGTCAATTTCAGTCTTTTAATCTGGTCTGGTTAAAACAGAAAATAAAATGGCGATTTATTCTTCACCAACACCGTTTCGACTGCAGCACTGCTAGTCTCAGTAAAGTAGTAATTTCGAACGATTAAGTGTCGCTGTATGTCGGAAAGTCAGCTATTATGAAATTAGTATAATTATTAACTTTTTCCGGGAAATAAAGAATAAAAAAATCGATTGAAATGGTCAATAGAAATATCATAGCTAACTCTTCTCCTTCCTTGACCCGTTGCGTGAGGTAGTGCGCTGTCTCCCCCCCCCCCCCACCTTGATTCATAACATAAGTATTTCATATTGAACAGAGAGTTCAGCCTCAAGAGATTCAGTTTTTATAACTAAATCCTATACGAAATAAACAAATGAATGCAGTTTCGTACACAAAATTTTACTCAATATCTCCCAAAGTAAATAAGAGAATTGGTAAGAGATGGATTGATCACCAGGGTACATTAGGCTTTCAGTTAGTATCTGTTTTGCGGGTTTTCTTAGGCGAGCTTTGAACAATGATGCAGAATACTTTGACAAATCGAAAAGAAATAGCTTCCGTGACTTTCAATCACGAAAAGTTCATTTCACAACATTTCCCTGTGTTACCCGTACTCCAAGAACCACAAAGAACTCTTAATAACTAACGTTTCTAGAAGAATACATTTCTTGTTTCTTTTCTTACAAAATTACAGCAACCGCTTTTTTTGTAGCACCTGTTTCATTTTAACTAGACTTTAGCATTAAATCATTTTAGCGTAACAGGCTATTCTGTAAGACTCCATTAACCGTTTGGTACTTTAGTCTTAGAAATACACAATTCATTTAACTTCAGTTCGAATTCAAACCATGTCTTTCGTTTTGTGGATCATCGGTCGCATCTAAGCCAGGTGCCCTTTGTGCATACCATGGTGAAGTTGTTTGAAAGCGTCCTTCATCTACATAAAATTAAATGTGATATTACTCTCTTTTTTCTTTCATTCTAATTGATTATTAATACTAGCGAGAAAACACATTTTGTTATCGTCCTATGAATTTATCCATTTGGTGGCTTTCACTAGGCTATAGGAAAACGAACGCGAAAAAATTTTAGCTTTGTTGAACATTTCACGCGTATGTCAGTGCGCACTTACGTATCATGGGTTGCACAATCAAGAACATTCGAGGTGCATTCTTTAACGATGAATCCTCGCATGAATACCTAAACGAGCCTTAATTATGAATTAATCTTCAAAATTCAAGAACTCGGGGTCTTTAAATTAGTTTTGCACAGCACTTCGCTTAAACATAATTTGTTCTTTTTAGCCTGTAACGATGCTCTCATAATGAAATGCTGTTAATAGATGCATGAATATTCTGGATAAGTCTGAAATATTTTTGAGTGTCACTATATCATGCAACACCACGCTCCTCGTAAAATGTAAAGATATCCGTGAAGAGGATCGATGACCAGAAATTGAGAGTGCGTGTTAGTTTGCTTACAACGTTTGTTGATTGTAATGCGTCTTGTTTAGTGTTTCTTTTTTTTTTGCCTTTCCTGAGCGGGGTTGGGTTCGATCTACATATTATGATCTAGACCATGCGCTCCCGAGTTAGTTGTTTTGCGTTTTTAAAGTGAAGCATCGATTTAACCAACCTCTATTTAACGAAGTCCTCGGTATAACGAACGATACTTTTCAGCCTGGCTAAAGTTACAGTAAAATGTATGCCACACAGCTTCGATATAAAGAACCTCGATATAACGAAATCCTCGCTATAACGAAAACAATGCAGAGGCCCAGATATAAACAGATACCCCGATATAACGAAGAAATGTCAACACCTGACCAAAGGCAAATGCGAAACACACCGACAGTGCAATACTATACAGTACTGTTCTGTTGTTTGATACTGTACACACCGTTTATGTTCATTATGACATTTGACAAGTCAGGCACAAAAGAAACCGTGAATTTCCTCGCTCTTTCTCTTGAATGAAAGGCGCATTTAACGAAAGACAAAATATGAGGCAATTTGAAAAAGGTTTTGATTAAGCGTCTTGATTCGCAATTTTAGTAGAATAATAAAGAATGAAAAAAAAATTAGACAATTTTCACGAGAACAATTTTTGATTGGGTGTCTTGATTAGCAATTTTAGTAGTTAACACACACACTCACACACACACACAGACACACACAGACACACACACACACACACGTACACACACGCATACACACACACACAGACACACACACACACACACACACACACACACACACAGTAACAACAATTATTAACCAAACCTCGATCTACGGACATTTTGGTTGTTTTCCTGCAAATTTGTTGAATCGAGGTTTTCGATATAAAGAACCCTCGATATCCCCAGTCCCTTAGCACTTCGTTAAATCGAGGTTTCACTGTATTACGTTTCTATCAGGCTTACAAATCTCGTAAGTAGTATTTCGTTTCGTAATTGTTTCGTTTAGATTACTTCATTCAGATCTTTTTTGTTTTCCTTTTTTAAGTCAAGTTAGAATATAACACTGATTGCGTTAGTCAGATCTACAACGTTGTGACCAGCTGTAGATCTTATGCATGTGGGTGGTGTCTTTTGATGAGTTTAAAACTATTATTGGTTATTTTGTCGTTTTGTTGGCTTACAGTGAGCTTTTTCGTTGCCTACTGTTTTACCATACAGTCGCATCGTGGTTTTAAAAACAGCAGAGGAATACATGATCATTAAGCAAAACGAACGATTAGCATTCTTTTTCTGTGTTACCATCAGCTGAACATCGCATTATGCATTTTCTCACAATTGTTACGACTAATACGATTGCTTCTTTGAAAGCAAATTCATCAGATATCATCTGCCATCTTACTTGTACCTGTGTTTGATCTTGAAAAGATAAATGAACAACAATGATTGCAGTGATTGTGAATTTCCTCAGTACCATCTACCATAAGAAGGCAGCTGCAAATTTGTAGCCTATACCGGTAATCAGGAGTCTCGGGGAGATCTTCTTACAATGACAGAACTAACGGTTTTGAGGTAATTAATACTTTTTCAATTATCTGTCGATAGAAATGGGAAATCTCAGCCGGAAAATCTCTCCACTCTTTGAACTTAATCACACACCAAAAGGAATAAGATATCAATGGTAATTTCTTCCAACTGAACTTGCGCCTTCTTTGAGTCGGCAGAACAAAGAGATCGTTTCATTTTCATGCAGATATGACACTGAGGGAACATAAAATATAAATGATCAAAACTGATTCTTTTCATGGTATGCCCACTATACAAAGGCTATTTCTGAGGAGCAGGTTTGTCGCAATAGCTGTGAGCATAGCTTACAACTACTTTGAGTTATACGCGTCACAGGATGAACTATTAAAAAAAGTAATAATAACAATCAAAAAACCGGACAATGAAAACAAAACAGATGTTTTACGTTCCTGTTGTTATTTTGAGAGAGAGGAAACAAAAACGACTTGTTGCCGATCCCATGGTTACATAAACCTAGAAAAACAACAGAATTTCCCTATATAGGTTGCTGTGAGCATTAAAAGCCTTAGATGGAAACTAAGGCTCATGAAACTAAAAACATTAACCTCACTCTCTGAATTTATTGCTATCGGTCCTTCTCAAAGATAACTCTGCATTCCAAGAGCACAATGGCGATGGATAAAGATGGGACTTTTACAAGTACTTCAAACGGTTCCAGGTCAGTTTTTCATTGCCTTTAGGAACCACTGGTGATCTGGGACTTGGATGACACAATCCCCATGAAGGCTGGACCGGCCGTCACCATGATCGCTTGTCCCTTCACTAGTGATAACTAGAAGAGAATTGCAAAGCATTTCAAACATTCTGCTTTGTAGCTTGGCTGCAACTGATTTCTTAATGGGTGTGATGTGCATGCATCTGGTAATTACTTTTGACTGGTTACTTCTACAGAAAGTATTATGCGAAGAAAAGGTCTGTTTGATGCATTACATAAACAATAGTTTACTGTATGCAACATACTGCGCTTCGTTTTATTACCCAGTTTTAATTGCTTGAAAGAGATATGTGGCAATAACCAAACTTTTGTAGTACAAGGCTATTGTTACCAGAGAACGCGCTATCAAATACGCTAAAGTTGCATCCCTGTTGGCCATTCTGACAGTACCGCCGGCTTTTGTGATAAGAGTCATAGGCGTTCTTACGTCATATTAGTCGAAATCGTATTTGCGATTTTAATTATCGTATGGGGTGGTGTGTATCTGCTTCTAGGAAAAACGGCTTATATCGGAGTTAGAAAATGGAATGAAACTCGAATAAAGCAAGTGAACGTTCTGCTAAAAATGAATGCTGATACCAAAATGGCTTACACCATGTTCTGGCTCGTACTTTTTGCCGGTGTCTCGAGTTCACCTTCCGTTATTAGTAGTTTATTCAGGGGAATGTCGCCTATTTTTCGAAAATTTTGGTTTTATCGGTCGGCGGAAGCAATAATTCACTTAAATTACCTAGCCAATCCGGTACTTTTACAAGAACAGCCGTTTACGGAAAACTACTCTGGCGTTTCTAAGGTCCCGAAGGACAAAACAGTTCAGCCAGTTTCACGCATTAATAGGCGCCGTCGTTATTCTGTAGGTTCCATTGAACTGGAAGATTTTCAAACAAGAGCACAACGCTCCCGCTTCAATAAATTTCAATTCTTACGAAGATGTGGATTAATCGAAGACCGCAAGGGACTTGGGGCGGAAGCTCTCCTTTGGCTCCATCCTCCAGGGTGCGGAGTAACCAGTTTGTGTTAAAAGTTGACGTTGAAAATGCTCCAAGAAGGAAGCCAATTTATCGCAATCTGACTTTATGTCTTGACTGTTGAAAGTTCTCGGAATCAGTTTGAGGATACAAGGGTGCCGTCATCTTCGCTAAGTGGAGAAAATATATGACAGAAAAAGAGTTGTCCAAATCGTTTCGAATATTGAGAAGAAACTCTGTTGTATAGATAAACTAACCTCGCTTATCCGATTTGAAAAATAGACACCTGAGAAAGTTTCCAGCTGCACACTGCTCAATTCTTATGAATTGGGAGGTAAACTTTGTCGTCAACGATAAACTTTTGCTGAATATTAAAAATAAAATGCATTTGTCTTAATTATATGGTTTCTTTCTGTCTTATCGATCTTGAGATCCATAATGGTTTAAACGCGAAATAAAACCTTTTATTTCCACTAGCCAGTTTGGCTAGTAAACAAACTGAAATTGCTGTAACATCTAAGTTGTCACCAGCCACTTGGCTAGTAAGTTGAAAAGTTAGCGTTGAGCCCTGATGTAAAACCCTCCACTCACCTAGGTAGTTTTTTAGTGCCTGGAAAGCTTGGCCATCCATCTTTTCTGACATATCAACGGACAGTTGCTTCAGTGCTTGTTTTAATGCCATTTCTTCATTCATGTAATCATCCATTTTCTGTAGTGCTTCTCTAAGCCCTTCGTCGAGCATGCTAAATGTATTATCAAATTTTGATATATTCACTTTACTGTCCAGTGAGGCCTTATCAGCTTTAATGTCCAGTAAAAAAAACCCGGAAACTATAATGGCGACGGTTCAGTGGGGTTAAACATTCAAATTGAGCATTGTCATTCTAATGGAAATCTTAATTCAAACGTTACATCAAATTTGATGTTGTCTTTCATATTTCTAACAACAGAATGGAAACAAATTAACAGGTAGTCTTTCTTACAGTGGTCCGATGCATTTCGGCTAAAAAAACCATTTCTTTCAAATTTCGCCCATGAATCTGTCTTAGTCTAAACGAAATCGAAACCACCTCGATTTTTTCGAAATATTGTAAAATTTATTTGTATTTATTTTCTTCCCCTCTCAAGTGATTTTGTTTTACTGTCGTAAATTGGTCTGTAAAAAAATATCATTGAGGGGGTTAATGTTGATATGCTTCTCAAAACCCTTCGTTATTTCCAATCATTCACAAAAAGCAATAAGAGCGATTTTTCGGTGAGAGATGTGTACGTAGGTTGCAATTAGCTAATTCATTCTCATGCCCAAATTTTTGTTACAAATTATTTGTTCGCTGCTTGAATTTGAGCGGAGGTTTGATTTACACCGCAGAGTACACTTGCAGTACATGTAAGTCTTTACAAATCCGGTGCTAGTGCCTATGCAAACGATGAGCACGCGTCGTAGACAAACGCAAGGGATAACGAACTTTATAGGCTCGCACAGCTACTGACAGACTCAGTAGGATTGTGGGAGGAAGGTAAGGTGCGCAGGTACAGCCTAAGAGAGCGGATAGGTTTTTAAACATCGGACATTACGGCTTCTTAGATGCTCAGCGATGTCATAGTTAGATATCCTGCTAAGGGCAATTGTTCTTTGATCAGTTTGAACTGGGTTTGTCGAGAACCAATAGACACAAATTTTAATTAACATGGCATGCTAAGAATGGTTACCACTCGTTGCCAGTTTAGACCAAGTTTGGCGTCAAAAAACAGGTACTGAAGACGTAAGGTGTGGATTAGGTCAAGGCTTCACTAGAATGTGAAATGCTTCACCTAGCGTAAACACCCCTGTAGCTAACGTTAAGGCACTAGTGACATTTGGGATATTTCCCAAGTGTCTTAGCGGCATTTCTAAAAACACGTGTGCAGGCAAAACGTCAGATTCAGAGTCATTGGAGTCAAAGTAGTTATGCTAATTTTGAACTTAGGTGGTGGAACATTTTCTTTAGATTTCGGTTGGACCAGTCCATTCCCGCTGGACGAAGGGAACTCGTCATTTTACTTCGTTCCGTTTTCTTACGCTTCATCAGATTTTTTGTGTATTTTGTCGACAAGGTAACTCGCAATCGGATCGTTTTTCTCATCGAATCTTTATAAGTATTTATTCTTAGTTTTACACTTCTTCCTGTATCCTGCTGAGGATTAAAGAGAATCATAGAAGTTGTAATTCTTCCAGTTATCTGTTAGTGACTTGTCTTTTAAGCCGAATTTGATCTACTTATCGCGTGAAAGGTTGCCGGTAATAACCCCATTGTTCCGTTTGTGGCATTTTCTGCTTCACAAGCAGGAAAAAGCACCCTTGCCGATCCATTTAATAGAAACTGATTAGGCACTTTTACTTCTTTGTGAGTTTCCATTTTTCATTGAGCGAACGCGTAAATTGCATGGCAATTTCACTGGGTTGCGCCATTTGTATGTTTAGTACAGCCCTTTATTTTATATTATTGCTTTCCTGCAGTTAAACGCTGGCTACCTTAGGTTCTCCTGGAAAAAAACTGACCGAACCGATGATAGGAAAAATAAAAGTTTCATTTGAATTCTTTTCAACAAAAAATCAATACTTGATGGAGGGAATGAGGCGGCCATAACGACGTAATCGACTCAGATTTGGATTTCTGCGGTTTTGCTCGTCAACCCGCTTTGTTTAGTCGAAGAAACTTGCACCATCCCTGTCAACCAATCCCATGCTAGCCTGCATAGCCGGAAGTTCTCTATGCGCTCCGCAGTTTTGTTTGCGCTGAGTGGTGCGCGGTGAAGCCGCCAGAGTTTTATAGCCGTCAGCTACACATGCAAGTGTAGTCCTCCAAAAAGCTCTGCTGCTTCGAATTCGCTGCACAACGCTGTAGCACATAGTAAACTTTCAACCACACTGACTAATCAGATGAAAGACTCGAGAGTAGAGTTCACTCGCGCCTTCCAATGCCTCAGGCATTCGTTCGTGTTTACATGAGTTCTAATTCCCTCTTTGCACTTGTAATTTGTTCTTATAAGTCACTGTGATCGTCGCACATTTGGGGAAGAAAAGGGGGGTGGGGTGGGGTGGAAAATCACTTTGAAATTAGTGGGTGAAGAGTGCTTAGTAATAATTGTTTTTTTTGTCATTATTATTCTCTCTTTTGTTTCGAACAAAAAAAAAACCTGGCCATCTTTGTAAATACACCTACAGGTCAGAGAGCCATGATCTGAGGGGTCTATGAGGAGTTACAATGAATTTTTTTTATAGTTTTGTTCAGCTGTTTGAATTGCATGAAGAACAAGATTGAATGTGTTCGATACGTGACAAATAAGAAGTTAACATTCGTTTCGAATAGAAAGAAGCGAAACTGTATTTCGCCATTGTGTCTGTCTAATTGTTAAGAAAGCTTTGACAAAATATCAAATACAATTTTAAAAAATGCTCTATATCAAGTTTCAGTTTTGCGTAGAATTTTCTTAAAAGGTTACAACATTCAATCAGTGAAGTCTAGATACAAGGATATTTCATGATCATCAACACACAGATCTCTCAACATGGTATTCGAAAAATGTAATATTCAATACAGTTCGAATCAAAATCATTCTGAAGCATTACCGCTACAATAATTGTTTTATTGTCGTTAAGACATTTGACTTCCTTCAATATATGCCTAGTTACAGAAATCGTGCTCACAGCAAATTATGTTACTAAAACAGTGTGGGTCAGCGGGCGCATTCTGTGAACACCAACTTGGATGCTGGTAATTTATACAGTCAGTGTTTTTAAAGCATCCTTTTAGGTAAAGTTGTTGAACAGATGAACGCAATGAAAGCAATCCGCAACGATTTTCTCCATTCTGGCAATTGCGTTCCTCTACTCTTGTACCACATTCTTCCCATGAGTTGTAACTACCGCAACCAAAACATGACAGACGATCTTGATTTCCTCCTGGTCAAGCAGATAAGTCAATAAATGGTAAATAGATGGAAAATGAAAATAAGAATGGTTATTTTAGTGAATAAATAAAAGAATTATGAAATGTGAAGTCTTGAACAAAAGTCGCTTTGAACTTGATCTCCTGAGATATTCGCATGCAAATATGAAAGAAACATCCCATCAAGTCGCATCATTGCAAAACGGCTGATTTTACCAAAAAAAAAATTAACTTAAAGAGTTTTTTAATTTATTTCGTTTCTTCTTGAACTTTTTTTCAGGTATTAACAGAATGGCTGGCACTCTGTAGAATTGTCAATAGAGACTTCTAAGACTACGTATAAGAACAAAGAGGGTAAGTTTCTGAAGAAACCGTGGTGCTGCGTCAGTCTGTGGGGGACTATAACAAGATCATTTGGTTTTTATCATTTGAATTCATAATGTAAAGACTGTAAAGATTTTAAAGGCTGACGTTTCGAGCGCTAGCCCTTCACTAGCAGATGGCTATCAACTCAGTTGAAAAAACCGAATTATTTAAGTATTTTGAATGTAGTTTGGTGCTCGATTTTGGATAGGTAGATAATTTGATTTTATGGACTTGTCTACCATACAAATTAGAACTACTTTTGTTTCCATCGCAGTTAAATCAGTATTGGCTTATTTCAACCAAAGAATTAATTAAAAGGTACCAACACGCACAGAGTCAGCTCCGCTAAAAACATAACTCATTAAAACCATAAACTTACCGGCATCTGTAAGTCCGATGCTTGCTAAAAGAATCATTACTATCAATTCTTTCATCATGGCACGTCCAACTGCCTTGTTCAGCAGTATTTTTGTTCTCTGGCTTCGTAATTCAGTTTGCTTTGCTTGAACAACTGTATGGAAGAATTAGAAAAAATGTAAATAGTCTTGGAAGTTTTATTGTTTTGATTAACAAAGCAATATCAACAATCGCTTGTTGGAGAAGCGAAGTAAAATTATACTTATTTGTGGCCTATTGCTTGTGTATTATCGATTTAATGGTTTTTAATGGTCTTTCATGGCTTTTGTTTACCTCCCTAAGTGTCAACTAACAGAAGTATTTTGAGAACATCGAGAACCGACAACAACAATTGAAATTTTAAAAAAAGTACATTATAGGTATGAGTCTGCTTGTTGAGAAGAAACTTGTGACGCTTAACTTTGGCAAAGAAGTTGACTTTTCAGCGAAACGATATTTTCAAGGAAAGCTTATCGACTTGCGGGAACAGAATCTACCTTTACTCCTCCACACTGATCTTTGTCAATTAACCTGGGCATGTTGGGCTGAATATCGCTGAGTATTTAAAAGGCAACTGGAACTTTAACGTCTTTCCATTCTCCGGAAGATTTTCTCAAGGATATATTTTTTAGCCTCCTAACTTAAATATCCTATGTTTTCTTCGTAATACGCAAATGCAACAAGTAAATCATTCCTCCTGTTATAAACTCGTAAACTATATCGACCTGCACGATACTCTCTTTACTTCATGTCAATACCTTTCGGTTTTCTTTTGATGTTTTCAATTGAAGATTTTACTTTCTGTTATTAGTGAATTATACTTTGGATACAAGAATCAAAGCAAACCTTTTGGGGCCGAGAAATTGTCATATGGTACCATCGGTTGCCTGCAACATCAATTCACACGGCTTTTCATTTGATAATTTTATCAACATCTGAAATTCTAATTAGCAGAGTAGATTGATCCTCATAATAAAACTATTCTCAATGTTTAATTCAACCAATAGCACCCATGAAGACAGGGTTTTACATTTTCAAGTTTTCCAAGGTCTCAGCTGCATTCAACTTATGAAAGATTGGCACAATAACTGAATATAAGCTTGGTTACTGAAGATTAAAACGAACATTAAAACACTTATTCCCAATGCAAAGGGTATGAAATGCTTTTGTATATGATTTAAACTCGATGAAATGCGTTTGACTTCTTCGTCTTTTTAATCGAGAGATGATTAGAATATCATATCGAAAACTGTTGAAAAATTCCTTTCTTCCTTGTTCAGGAGTCTTTCTTTTTAAATTGGAGAATTTTATTGTTCGCAATAAACCCTCACGTGCAAAAAGCTATTGGGCCGGTGAAATTAAAATGTGATCATCATACAGATGCAAATGAAATTGAATTTCTCCTGTTTCCCCCCAAAAATAATTATATAAATGTACTATTTTGTTTTGATCTTTCACTGTGAATACAACAATTTCGTCATGGTAACTGGGTGAATATAATACAAAATAATATCAGTGGGTCTGAATTCAACTCCTTTTAACGACAAATATTTTCTTTTTAACAGAGAAATCTTGTTCTACTGTTAATTTTTTTTTTTTTTTTTCATTTTTAAAATAATTCTGCAGGTCTACCTTCAGGTGATGTTTACTAGATCCGGTACATCTTTACATGAGTATTAGACTTTTCTTCTTATTATCATTACAATATATAATTATTATCGTTTTTATTATCATTATTTTACAATTATAATAATTATTATAATCATTATTATTATTATCAGTTTGTCTAAGTTTCACGTTGATGTAGTTTTTGAAACAGATTTTGAACTGTCCATTTTAGATGCGACTCATTCTCCAGTGATAAAAACTACTTTCACTTTTTCACAACCCTCACTCATGAAAATATCATCAACAGTCAAAGATTAGACGGAATTCGTACACAAGCGCGGCCATGTAAAGTTCTTCTCATACTTTTGCTATTGTTTCAAGCATTAAGTGCGCCTAAAACGAAATCTCACCATAACTTTTGGTGGCTAATCTTGTTTCATTTGCATCTCAATATAACCATACCAAAGTAACTGCTTCGTTGCGCTATTTTCTAATGCTATCGTCTTTGTCTTTTCTGTTAAAGATCTGCCGACTAACTGAGAAGTCTTCATTCTACTGAGTCGATTTAGTCCATCGCAAGCTACATAGACAAAAACGCGTTTTTAATAAAGCTTTAGATTATCTACGGATTTTAACACTTTTAACGTTTTATTTCACGTATCGTGAAAATTTTCCTTCTTTGAAGTATTATACCTCTTAATGTAAACACCTTATCATTTCTTTTTGTAAAATACAATATGCAAATCACTGATTACATATGGACTCGGAAATGACACAGGCAAATACGTACTTTATATTATTTGCTATTTTACTAGGCTTGTCGATCTTCTTTTGTTATTTTTACCAGATGATTTAATTTGCTGTCATTACGGGAATTAAATGCAGTGGGAACTAAAGTAAACGTCGCATTAAACTTTGTCATCATGGCGAGACTTTTTATGTTATCGCTAGTTGCACTCTCATGCTACATCAATTTACACGTATTTCTCTCAGTGATATCATTCCAATCTACATTTACATTTGAAAAAAGTGGGAATTATTTGTCTAACCTAGCGAACTGAGTGAGAAAGAACCATTCTTGTGTCCTTCAATTGTGATTCAAGGTAAGAAATATTATTCACGAACAAGCTGCTTGAAACTGCAATTAATAAAGGTAAGGATAAATCCTCCCAGAGACCTGAACTGGTAAACCAGCTCTGAATTTCAGAGGTGAACAATAAATATATGGGGAACTTAAATTTCAAAATCATTCTTGTATCGTCGTGGGGATAAGATAAGGAAATGTTACATTTACGGTTTTAAGATACAAAAAAATATGTAGGATAGCTCTTGCAAGGTACCAATTACCAGCTGCAACCAGCCTTAGAAGTTCCAAAAAAGCATTTTTCGTTGAAAAGAAACATTTATAACATTGCACAGTTATCTTTACAAAGACGTAATTTTCTTGGTGTCATTTCGAGTTTATTTAAATGTGACAGCCTGCTTCTGGATGTCTAACTTTTACAAAGGTAACATGAATTGGACATAATTTGCAAAGTAAATTTGTAAACTTCCAAGCTTTCTAATGATCACAGCGGTGAGATGGCCTTTAATGCACATGCTTATTTGAACCAGAACCAGGACAACATGTATATGTATATATGTATACATGTATATGTGTTGAAAAAGATTTTGAGAGGTATTTCTAGACGATAGAGAATATGTCATTAACAGGACAAAAATGTGTTAGTAATCAGCGAATTTTACCAAAATGAACATTTGAAAGACGAATTCAAAAAGCGTACAAAAAGGTAAACATGCCACAAAAACAACAACTCTTCAGAAATAAAATAAACAACAACAGAAACACAACATATGGTTTTGCATATATGTTCTATCATGTTAAATAGACCCTGAACCCTAACCTCACGTGTGGAACAAAAACGTAACGACATCAAGACACAGTAGGTAAATTTATGACACATTGGCATGTCTTTTATTCTTTATAAATGGATAGTACCTGCTTGTAACCCGTCTTTCCATGTAGTTCTTTTAAAACGCAGGGTCCCAAACGGCTTAAAAAATTTCTTTGATGAGTTTCACTGCATTAATTATCCATTGAAGTTCTCTGCTTCCAGTGGAATATTCAAGAGTGAGTAGCTTTTCTCGTGCAAGTTCAAACAAAAGAAAGGAAAAGTAAAACTTGAAAGTATGGCCTATCTTTTAGAAATCCTTAATTTGCTTATTCCTCCAACGATTTCATCTCGCCACAATTTCGCAGCTCATCGAAATAAAATCGAAGACGCGATAATTGACAACTGATCATTTCAAGGAGGCAGGTGATTCGACTCTGATAGCTTTGCATTGAAAGAAATACTCTTCTCGGTGATAATTAAGCCCTTGGAATGGATTTAAATGAATGGAAATGCAGTAAATGTCGTATCATCATCCTGAATAGAGTTAGAGAAAGCCCACCTAGAACACCAATGCTTGATTAATACTTCATAATCTGTTTTTCGTGGCCAAATGAAAATTATGCGCGACTTTAGCTTTTTCAATTGTGTTTTGTAAAGAGAACTACACGGGGCCACAAGGTAAACAAAGGTACAAACTTTCCATGGTATTTTAGTCCTTCTGTTTATTGTTACTCATTCATTTTTCTTTCACTACTTTCCTGAGTTATGTAATCAGGAGAAGGAATCGACAAATATATGTTCCTAATCTTTTTTTGTACCTTTTCTGATGTAGTTTTACCATTTCCAAGCAGGAACTGTTAAATTTATTAAACTGTTCGGATCATTTTTCATCAAGGTAATATGCTACTCTTTACTCAGACATTTATTTCTCGAACGTAATTAAGGAAACAGAGTAGTTCACATTTTATCCAATGGGGTCGGTCAAGCCTTTTAACAACATCTTTCGACCTATTACTTTTCAATATTAACGGGAAAATTTTTATATACCTATAACTTTAACCTTTTGTCTTGAAAAAGGCAACGCATCAAACTTATTTACCAAAATGTATTACATTTCTCATTAAATTCCTTTTTTTCTTAGATCTAGAGTGCTAGCTGATGCTATTACAATGGTGTTTGCGTGGTTCAAGATTATGATTTCGCTTTCGCCCGACCATAAGTTCAGTAAGACAGCTTTATTCACCCAGTGGGCATCTTTGATAGCGTATGGAGGCGGTGGACTATCTCTATTGTGTCTTCCTAAAGTTTGGAGCGCGATTCTTGCTTTTGAAATTAGCCAGGCAGATGAAGGATTTATGAGGATGTCTGGTATTTATCTCATCGCTCTCGGCTTCTGTTACATCATAGTCGCTAGAACTGGGTCTTGCCTTAGGAAGCAAGGGCCTATGTTAAGCAGTATTTTCGAAAGAATTCTTTTTGTAAATGCTGCCCTGTTGATGTTCATTCTTCGTGGTATGGTACCTCTGTATTTCGCAACACTCTTCATAACACTGGACACAACTCTCTCACTGGTTACACTCTGCATTTGGTTTAGAGAAACTTCCCATGCGTCGGTGACGACCTTTTTCAAGGAAGTATTTGGCTCTTTACAAAGTTATTGGTCATTTAACCAGCGTTCATTATCATCTCTGGCAGTTCAGATAATTGGGTTTTTACAGTTTATTTGTGGTGCAGTCTTGTTTATTTTCCCAACACTCATCACCAAAGCGCTCAAGCTTCAACACACCGAAGGCAAGAAATATTCATTTCAAACGTGTTGGTTTTTATTAATCTCAATTCTCGGATGGTTTCATATCTTTGCCGGTGGCGCAGAGCTCACATCCTTTGCAATAGCTGCTGTTTTCTACCGCGCGAGTTTTTCTGTTCCAATGCATTGCCTAATGTATTTTTGTGATCAACTGGAGCTAAATTTGCTTTTATTCTTCGGATCATTCGAGTGTGCATTCGCCGTGGCCGTCATTTTATGTATCATTCTCGACAGAACAAAGCAAGCGACAAGAATACAAGTTTTACGATTAACGCCAGAGCCACTTGACAATGGAAAAGCACTAAACATCGTCACTAATAGACCTCAGTAAAAGATCCAGGCACATTATGAAAAACTAAAATAATTCCGGTGAAAACGACCAGTTACACTTAGTAAATTATGGGATATCGAATGCGGACACCAAGGAATCTTAGGAATCTTCAGTTATTCAAGAGAGGGGTAGCATATAGTTTATAGAATTTACTTCTAAATTAATCCGTTTCATTTTGAACTTGTGTTTTTTATCACTTCTATACGGCAATAAAATTTTAACCGACTCTTGCTGAGATTTAAATTCAATATCGCGGCGGAATACGAGAGTATCAAGAGAATAAAAACCCCTTAGGACCACTGGTATATCGGCTGATAAAGTCCAAGGCTGAGAAATTGTTCATTTTATGACCCTCCTATCAATTTTCCACTGGCTTTGTATCTTTTCGACAGATATCAGTAATCGGAGAACAAAGTGTGGACCTAGACGGGACGAATTGAACAATATTCTTCATTTGACGCGTAAATATCTTATTAGACTTTAAATTTTTGTTGTATAGTATCGCTGAGTATTTATACGAGTTGTGCCGTATTTTAACGAGCCCACGGGGCTCAGTAGATGATGAAATTTTAAGGTCGTGTAACTACTTCCCTTCGTTCGATTTATCTAATAAACTTGGATGAATATTCGCCAGCCATTCCGACTCTTCGTCGTCAGAAAAATTATGTAAACTGTCCGCAATTTTTTTTTGTAACTTCAATGCAATCTTCGCTTGCGCGATGCGCGAAAACCTGTCTGACCAGTTCTCTGAAGTACAAATCCCGTGTGATGCTTGTGCTCGTCTTGGGCATTATTTGTACGGAGTGTAGTTGGATAATAAGTAGGGATATTTGTCTGAGGAAGTCATCTGTTCCGAGATGCGAACAGTTTTTCTTGAGCGAAACTTTAGGAATTCTGATCGATTTATCGCCATATGTTTTTCCTTGGGATGACCAATTCATTTCCGAAAGGGAATTCTGTTGATTGTTGTGACATGCTTTTTTCCGGCATTACAAGTTTGCATCTTCTTTAGGTCAACGACCACGCCGATCACGGCGCAACTGTGTACTGTGTGGAAATATGGGAACCAGCCATTCCAATGTCTTAACACAAAATCTACACAACAGCCGATTTCATCATCTTTTATGCTCTGCCCCTATTAGAGATTATTATTCTTTACACCACTATCATCTATAAAATATGGATGCAAAGGATTCCAGAGCAAGCGACCATAGCTAATCAACAAGTTGAGCTCAAAGCCAAAAAGAATATTTATCATAGCCATTTTTACGTTCGCTCTTTTAGCAACTGTGTGATTAATCCAATAATTTACATTGTATTTAGTCGGGACTCTAGAAACGGTTTCAGGGCTATCTGTCACTGCCCACCCTGCTTTGATGGTGACCTGTGAACAGCCAAACTAGAGAAATGAGCGAGACAAAGGAATTTTTAATATACGAGAATCATACGTATGATGTACGATCCTCTCAGTAGAGACCGCTATTTATGCTATATAATTTTTTTCAGGTCTGATTTTCGCTATTGCATAATTAGCGCTCTCTACTGCGAGGATCGTGCATCATACGTATCTATAACCGCAGTTCAAAATAATTGAACTTCGTATATCCATCGTATACGAGAATCATCTATGTGTACTGCGGTTTCATGAAATTTATGAAAGTGATCCCCGTAGTAATAAACCCTACATATAAAGTTGTGGGAAGAAGACCTAAAAAACAAAAATCAAGGCACGTGCGGGATTTGAACCCATGACCTCTGCGATACCGGTGCAGTCCTCTACCAGCTAAAGTAACAAGCCAACTGGGAGTGATCTAAACCAATGAATGTTTTCAATTGGTAGCTTCATTTCTTTATATAAATACATATTTTTTATTTTTTCACTTTTCTTTATAAAACACAATCGTCCCAGCAGCAGTCTTGACCCGACGAAATTGAAAAAGATTGACAACTAGTAGAGCTCCATTCTGCAGATCTTGGAAAGCTACCAATGAATGAGTTACATGCACGCATTCTACATTTTGGATTGCTATATATGAATCATTAAAACATTCTGGAAAGCACTAGCTGGAAGTAAACAATTAAATGGTACGAAATCATAGTCAGTTCCTAGAAACAAGTTGACCTCGTGCATGAAAATGAAATCTACTTACGTAACAAACGTTTCCCATTACTCCAAACGAATGAATTTCAAGAAAAGGTAACCATATACCTTGATATGTGGAAGATTTGTTATCTTATAGGAACTCTAGAGCGTTAACAGAATGTTCATACTTAAAAAGATATGGCAATTGTTGCACTAAACGATTGTGTCCTTCGGTATGAAAATAAATACCACAATATGGTGGCGTGCGATAGTTGCATTTCAGGTTTTGTATCAAATTTTGCGCATCTTCTTAGTTGATGTAATATTGGTCAGCATTTTATGCCAAACCTTTCCAAGCAACTGAAATAGGGCTAGGCTCATTTCAGTTGGAAAGAGTCAAGGTTGAATATTCGTGATCTCCAGGATTGCTGGACATGAAATCTACGATGGGAGGATTACTTTTCGATGAAATTCTACTTGTCAAGAAAGAATGATTATCTCTGTCGATCTACCTAAACAATAAAAATTTCTAAGCAAACTTTATCAAAGTTAATAAAGGCTGATAGTTTCTAAAGAAACTGTTTGGGGCTGCGTCCGTGGGGGTAACGAAATAATTTGAATATATCAACAAAGTTGAAATGGTAAGTTGGCCACCCTTACGATTATGAAAGCTGACGTTTCGAGCGTTAGCCCTTCGTTGGAAGTTAACCTGACATTAAAAGACTGGCGTAGGACCATCCGTCAAAGTGTAATATAGAGACAAACATCGGCTCTTCAATGAGACAGCGTGAAAGAAGTTAAACTGTCCAAGGATAGGCCTTTTATTGATATTTTAAAGCAGTCCAACTAATTGGTTAAACAAACTTCCAAGCTGTTTTAAAGAAAACAATTGTTGCCTTGCAACGACTGGCAAGTTCCAAAAACGAAGCAAAACCAAACGATTCCCAAGCGTGTCGCAACTGATGGGTGAGACTACTTACTGGTTGTCCTCAAAGACGAATAAACCGCGGAAAACCAAATTTTACGATTATCGGCGATTATTGCATATGAAGAAACGATGGTAAACTTAAATAATAGTGCAACGTATTTCTATCAGTTCAGTCGGAAATGTTGAGCAAGAGAAGGACTAAACTTGCAAGGGATAACCTAACGATTTCAAGTTTATGACATAAAGGAATGGGAAATCGATACATTAACAATAACCAGCATAAAAGCTATACGAAATTTTAATCAAATAATTGCATAATAAAATAGGACCTCATTAAGAGCATGGAGCTCTCGAACCTAGTAGCGTTAGGATCGGAACTTTTCTAAACTGTACTACTGTAGATTGGTTCGTGTTGTTCGATAATGTTTATTTGTATGCTTACGTCCATAGCTAAAACACGTACCCTAAAATAATGACAAATGTACTCACATATCGATTCCGCTTGAGCCAATGGTTAAGGATAAAGAAACCTCGAGAGTCTGAGGTTAACAAAGCCACGCGAAATCGAATGAAAAAGTACTCTAAAGGACGCTAACTCAGCTTTTATTTGGGAGTGGTGACACTTAAAGGATTGATTACAAAATGAATTAAAACTGAAGTAAACTTTGTTTCTGCGTTTGTGACTACGGTAAAGGGATATAGAGACAATTATTTACTAATCAAAATTGGCTTTTGTCTAATGTCCTTAACAACAAATTAATTGAATATTAAATAAATGTTGATCCCAATTGCCTGATTATAAAGACTGAGATTTAATCAGGTGGCTTGTTTTGTCTACACCTGCCTTTGCTCTTAAACGTAAGCTATGCGAAATCACAACATCATAAAAATTTTTCGTGGAAAAAGGTGTTTTTCTGAATGAAACCAAGAAAGGACCTTTAAAATGCAAAGTTTTAAATTACTGTATTTATCTATTTTCTCGTGAATATCCCGGAATACGTGTTAAAGTGATGGCAATAAGTTATTCGAGGTATGTCATTTGATCTGTTGGACAAAAACTGAACGTGCATTAATGGGTAAAGTCCTTTCAGTGCGTTCAGTCTCTAACTATCCGATAAATTGTATCGCTTTTTCGCTTCAATTTTAAAGAAAAAAGGCAACAAAGTTTGAAAAGCAGATGGAAGATAGTGCGAGGCACTTGAAATAAAATAATAAACCTCGAAGACGCTCAATCAGACAAATAAATGACAACAAAACTGTGTCTTATTATAGTTCATTTTGATAGTTTAATGGAAATAATTGATTCATTAAATTTTGAAGTTGTTTGTCCATGAAAATATAAATTTGACACATAAAGGCCATCACCTCTATCTCAAATTTCATATAATCGTTTTGCATTTTAATAACAATTGCTATATCTACTACTGCTGTTACTCAATTTATCAGAAATTACGAAATTGCTTTACCTTATCTTTTTTATTTTCAAAGGTGAGAGTGTTTCTTTAACTGAAAAGGGGCAGTAATATGAAGTGCCTCTTTTTTATATTAATTTTTTCATTTTAAAGCGAACTTTTTCGCTGCATCTTTTGAAGATAGGAAATTAAACGAAATGTGTTAATTGATCTGTTAGACATCTGGCTTAGAGAAAATGCTCAATCGAGTTTAATGAATGTAAATACTTGATTCAATTGGCTTCTAAGCGCCCAGTTTATTTTCTTACTGTTAATTTATCATTCTTTCTCATGAAATATCAAATCCTCAAATTTAAACGAGAGTCGAAAATATTCGGAAGTTCGCGTGAAGGCCTCCAATCAGCGTGCCATTCCTTAGCAATCACTATTTTTACTCTATTTTTAGCTTTGAAATAAAAATGCAATTAATCTTTTAATAAAGAATCACTCAGCCTGCTCTGTAAATTTGGAAAGCACTTAAAGCAGCCAGCTGGTTAAAGAAATAAAAAAATAAAATACTTCCTGGATGACACTGTGTCAAATTGACTTTGGTCTGATGACGATCAACAACATGAAGTTCGCTGCGATTTCCTTCCTTATGCTGCTTTTCGGAACGTTGGAAGGTAATATGTTAAAATAGAACGCGTCGTACATTGCATCGATTTCCTTCCTTATGCTGCTTTTCGGAACGTTGGAAGGTAATATGTTAAAATAGAACGCGTCGTACATTGCATCGTTTTGCTAAAACAACACTGTGGAGAACCTCGGGCCAAAAAAACACTCTTGTCGAACTCTTTGAAATTCTTCTTCATATTGCACTCTCATATACTGGAGCTTGACTATTCAAGCATCTTGCTAAAACAACTTTCGCCTTTCAAGTCTGTCCTTCTTATATCTTACACTTTCAATTAATCGAGTTATCTGAAATGTTGGGGTGCACTTAGAGCGTACAAAATAATAAGCTTTCTCATTTCGTTATCATCTTTCTCATCTTCGAACCTTAACTGATGTCTTTCTTATTTAACTATTTCTTTATTACCATTTCTCTCTTATTTTACCACTTCTTTATTTCTACTTCTTACCAAGTGAGCAGGTTGAAGTGCTATCAGTGCACAAGCCTCTTATCTCCAGCTAATTGCGCATCAACGGCGACTCAGGCCACGTGTGGAGCTGAGCAAGACCGATGTATCACTTTGGAGGCAAAGTATGAAATCGACGGCATGTCAAAGCAATCGATTACAAAAGGTTTGTATTAATTTTGGTAAAATCTCCAAATGTTCCATTCGGCTTACCTTTAAAGATGAAATTTACTATGAGGTCCGTTTCAGAAGAATTTGAAAGGTTGGTTTTAGTTTAAAATGTTGAAATGGTATATTCAGTTCGCCTTTGAGGGTCATGCCTATTCTGAGAACCGTTTTAGAAGAAGTCGTTCTAAAAATTTCCCACTCTCATTATCACTTTGATCTATTATTTCGTTACTCCCACCGACGCAGCCCCAAACAGTTTCTTTCGAAACTATCAGCCTTTATTCATTTGATCTATGATATACAGAGTAATAAGATATGATCGAACAAGAAACTCAGGGTGTTCGTTATCCACAAAGACTTAATCAAATTTGACGTTTTCAGTTCACTGGCGCCGTCTATTGGTATTCAAGAACCAGCATGTTTTCTAGCTTTCTCCCATCCACCTCCCATTCACTTTTTACTTTTCTCCCTTTGTTTGTCTTTTTATGAATAAAGATTGCTCAGCTAGCGCTGTTTGCGATCGGGCAGCCGATATCTGTGGCCAAGAAGAGGGAGTGGAATGTGACATAGAGTGCTGCTCAGGAGACTTGTGCAATGGTGTTGATGACGAAGGTCAGTAACTGTGTAAAAAAAATCACCTTTCTTATTTCGAGATGATATTACTTGTGTAAAGCGCAGCAGGATTTGAAACAAAACATTAAGCGCTGTCGGATTCGCAAAGCAAAATATTTGCAATTGTCTGGACCGCACAAGAGTCACGCGTGATTTTTGTTTTTGTCTTACAATGATGCCTATTTCTCAACGTGGAATCTTTATGTACCTTTTGACATCTTAGGAAGTGCCGTGGAGGACAACTTCTGCTTTACGTGTATCAGCAACTCCTCAATGGCCGACTGCATTGAAAGTCAGACACAGCAGCAATGCTCGCCCAAAGAAAACCGTTGTGGGGTCATGTTTGCCTATCAAGGAGAACTAAGATCGATGTTTCGTAAAGGGTGTATCACGGAAGAATACTGCTCTTCTCTCTGTCAAAATGGACACATTGAAGGCGATCCAAGTATCGAGTGCGAATTAAACTGCTGTGAAGGAAGCCTTTGCAACGATGAAAGTATGGGAGCTAAGTGAAGGATTTGAGAAAGGCAGACTTAGTTGTTGGCTGATTGTGAATTTCAATGATTGGGAACTTATTCCCTGGTTTGAATAAAAATGTGTTGCAGTGGCTAATTTTGACCCTTGTCTCAATGATACAGATCTTATCTGACTCATCTCGCTTTTTCATTACCCAATCGCTACTCAGTCTAGTCACTCCTCTATAGAACATCATAAAAGATAATTGTGATTGCATTAAGATATATTTGATAAAAGCCAACACGAGCTTCACGGGAAGAATGACCGCTGACATAGCTGCAGCCTCCTAAAAATAATACCAAATGAAAGATGATATCAATCATAAGGATAACAGAATTTTTACCATACCAAACCTATGCCGGTGATAAACGTTCGAATTGATCTTTTTCTCTCCATTTCAAGTCGCCATTAATTCTTGTGGAAAATTAATTTCTAAATGAACCTTGTGAACCTGAATTACAGATGATTATCTGTCTAAAGGCTGTTGGAAGTAACTCAGGGGGTTGAAACCTTGAGATATGTACTCACGTTTCAATTAAACAATGTAATTTTTTATTCATTCTATTTCCAAATTCTCCAAAATAATTTTTTCGGTGTAAAATTCTAGCAAAATTTAAAGTTGCAACTCAAATTCTCCAATTTCGGCAAGTCTTTGCGAATCCGTTGAAGTCAGACACCGACATTATCTACCATACATTACGCGACTTATTAGCTCATTAGCGTAGTTGCAGTACTATAATTCATTAGGGACTGAACAATCAGAATTTTTCCTCTTTTTTTATTCCTATTTCCAGGCTCGATTACCATCGCTATCTCGACTTTGGTCTTCGTTCCTTCAGCAGCTCGTTTGATAAAAAAACGCCTTACTGAGGGCACAACTTGCTTAAAACAACTCCCATTTGAGACGAAAATACAGATTGTGCGACATAAATGGGCCCAGAGTGAAAGTAGCATCCACACAAAGTCGAGTGTGGGATTGTGGGATTGTAAACTGGCTGAGTCTTGGAAAGTTCTTCGGTTCTGAACAGCATCTGTTTGCCTTCTTATCGAAAGAAACGAAAATGACGTTTTTTCTCTCTCGCTCAACTCTTTTGTCTCCTAAGTGAGGATTTAGGTTCCCTTTATTTTTATTCTTCATCTATTAAGAAAAAAAAAGTCCAAATAGAAAATAATATTTTGCTTTTTACTTACAACTTTAAGCTGTATCACGTTGCCCTTGGAAAAAGTGACAGTCCATAGGTGTGTTGAAACTGCTTTTACTGACGGAATCTTAAGACAAAATTTATCTATGTCAACAAAATGCCAACAAAAATTATTTCCAATAAAACAAACGATGAATTCAAATATACTTATAATTTACCCTTTAAGACAAATGAGAGCATAAAGTGAGAAAATAAATTGGGCTAAGGCTTAGCCTAAAAAATCCGTTTTAAAGAAAGACAACATTAACGGCATTGAATTCTTTGTCGACAGCTTTTAATTTAGTTTACTTACCTTAGTTTATTTACCTTTTTTGACATTGTTTCAAGTAACTTTTTATTACAAATCACCCTCATTTGGGAGGCTTAATAAATATAACGAGGTAAATAAAGTCAATCCCTGTTTTATATGGGCATTTTCTTTACATTTTCATCTAAATAACGGAGCTCTCTGTGAAGGAAATTGCGTTCATCATAAAGTTTTTTGTGTTGCTTCTGGTCACTTTTCCTCTTCATGATAGTAAGCCCTAAACTATGGTCGAATTTAAGCCTTGATAAACCCTTTTTACAAAGAGGGTCTCGAATTTTTAACTGGCTTTTAATGAGTAAGTGAGTAGAAAAGTTTAGAGGGAGTAAAAACACGTACATACGGCTCTAACTGCCGCTTTTGTAGTATCCGCCGACAGGAGGTGTTCTTAAGTTGCTATGGGGAAATTTATTGTGTTAATCACATAGAAATGCAATAAATGCTAATTTACACCAAAGCGCCGTCACTTTAACTAAATTTTACGCAGCAGTGGGAATAATTAAGAGTATCTTTTTTCATTCTCTCCATTTTTTTTTTTAAGGAAAAGGGAACGAAATGTTGTCTTGTTTGCAATGCTCGAGTTTCCTGTCAATGGATGACTGCACTGAAAACCAAAAGGAGCAAATCTGTTTTGGAGAAGAAAACCGCTGTGCAACTTTCATCTCCCACTCCTCATGACTACAAGGCAAAAGGGTGCTTAACTGACTTCACCTGCCAAGAATACCAAGCCCAGGGCTACTGTGAGCAGAATCTTGGAGTAGAATGTGAAGTCAAATGCTATCAGAGAAACCTCTGCAACTACTAACTTGCAAGGTTACACCAGCTGCTTCATATTCTTGTTTTCATACATCAGATGTAGACATTCAGTCGCTGAAGATGCCTTTGAAATTTCCAGAGTGGTAAAAAAAAATCTCAATCTTAGACCTTTTTAGTTTTAGAGAAAAACAAGTAGACACATACATCAGTCCAACGACCTCATTAAAAGCAACAAATTCGTCCCTTCGAAGTAGCAGCTACATAGCCGTTAGCCTAGGTGTTAGCCGTCATTGAGCGTTAGCACTTCCGACGAAGGGCTAACGCTCGAAACGTCAGCTTTTATAATCGCAACGGTGGCCAATTTACCATTTCAACTTTGTTGATATATTCAAATGATTTTCTAAGTACAAGGCCACGAGGAAATATTTTATTCCGTTCAATTTGACAATGATACAAGCGGCCCAGGTGTACTGTGTGTGATTTTGGGGTCTAAAGTTCATTAACGGAAATGCATAACAGATGAAGATCGAATTTTATGCTTAAGCATGGGCCATTATTAAAAGGAAAAATTATAAAAAAATTAAAAGGTAATTAAAAAGGGTAATAAAAGCGAGGAATATACCGTATGAAGTCTCCTAACTATTTTTCTGTAGCCGCTTTGTCGCCAATGGTCCTTTCAACGCTGTTTTGGCGACTTTCTTTGTAACGCATGTGGTGATACCTGTCAACTGTATATATAGAAATAAATAAATAAATAAATAAATAAATAAAAAAGAAAAAACGCGAATAGAAGAAAATGTGCCAGTTTTTCGGAAACGTGGCTTTCGTGCTTTTGTCACTCAAGCTGCAGCTTGATCTTCGTGGCGCAAGCCAAAGGTTGTACTTGCCGAAACCAAGAAGTGACTTCCT